GTCAACAGAAAATAAATCAAAGCTAATAAAAGTTAAACAGTATGGACATCTGTACTTATAATAAGTCCTTTAGATCCCAAAGTGGAACCGATATAGTGGCAAGTTGCACCGTTACCAAGCGCGTCGTGTGGGGTGAAATCCCTGGATCATAGGTCTCTCATCGACCGAGCTTTTCATCCCTACCAGGCTACTGACTTGTGCATCAGCTGGCCTGCAAATCATCGTATAGCATTCGAAAACAGCTGCAACTCTGAGTGTAAGTAGAATGTGTGGCGCATTCCAAAAATATTGATCACCTCCGAATGCTTTTTTCATCCCTTGTGCTCAGATACTGGACTGAACTGAATGTTACTGAGGCTTGTGAGACACTTTTAGATAGGAGTATCAGGAGATTTGAAAACCACAATGAGACCAATTAGCCACTGGGATAGCATCGGTTGTGTAATGTTTGTTTTGCAGTAGACTGAAGAAACCGCTAGCGTCGGCTTCTGACGTAAGAGAGAAAAATTAAGCTCTTGAAATGCTAACTTCTGCAAAACACTATCCATGAGAAAGGGGAATAAGACGGCTACAAATGGCAACACCTCAGAATACGACCAAATGCATCGATCAGAAGAGCAATGCTGGAACCAAACTTATGGTATTGCTCCACTGTTACAACCGCATGGGCTAATGTGGGTAAAAAAATGAAGAGGTGAAGTAGATTATTTTCCCGGTAATACTTCTCCTTCAGAGCTTACTGTTGGTCCGACAAAAGCCGTTGTTCACGTCGCCCAGTTCCTCTCTTGCTCATACTCTTGGTCATCCAGTTCATTTGTTTCACTTATTTTGTTTTTTCTACACAAAGCGTTCCTACTCTTTCTGTTGGTTACGTGAAAGACATTTCCAACCATCGCTTTGGTAAGCTTTGAAAAAAATAGATTCGGATACGGTAATCATAACATTATTGCGAGCAGCGAACATGATAAATTTTGAATGTGCAAATTTAAAACTTTTTTTACTCGCTCCGCTATCGGGTCACTGTATAATCCCCCGTAATACATATTGCCGAGTTCACAATGCGATGGAGCTGCTTGCAGTCCAAAACGTGGTAAAAAATGGGCGATAAAGCTCGTTAAAAGGCTTAGGTTTTTCCAACCGGTGGCACCTCTTTAAGACCACGCCCATGCGTTGCCGTACCTGCCGCCTCCGCTCCTCTCACGACTTCTCACGGTCCCGTCCGTCGTATTTATGCACTTTCATTCTCTGTTTCAGCCTTCCCAAGCAGGAAACCGTAATGTGGGTGCTTCAAGTAGTTTCTTTCACTGTTTTCTTTCATTCTCATAGATTATATCGATTGCCCAGTTTTTGCTACTATCAACTCAACCCCACTTTGCGAGTCACGAGAGACGCGCTATGGGTGAGCCGGAAGGGCAGCGGAGCCACAGCAACTGCACTGGCGCTAGTCACACGCGCACGTCACACAACTCATTTCCGGATAAAATACTTGCCCTTATCCCACGCGGTTCACGGAATCCTACAGTACGCGCAAAATCAGTCCAGTCAATCAATCAATATTCACTGCTAGTCACAGGTCCTACATGTCCCATCTTTCAACGCTACCCACAAATTTCGTGCTAATTCTGCTCCATTGAGAACTGACTTGTGCTAATCAGCACTGTCAGGTTCAGCCCTTGGAAGGTAGCTGATTACCGAAGTCAGCCGTTCACATGTCGCAGTTGCCTCTCTCTCCGTGAAATCATCGTCTCATACGTTTTGCTCGTCGCTGCCGGATATGTCGTAATTGCACACTCAGAAGTGCACATGGCGACGCGGCACTACTCAATCCGCAATTACGACATGTCCAGTCGCTGGAAAAAGTGTGCATCACGTTGCATAGATTGTGAAACGTTCTATTGCAGGTGTGTGCGTGTGGTGGTCACCGGCGATGGGATGTGCTCCATCCGGTCATCAGGAAAACGCTCGAAGTCTCGATGAGCGTTTCGCTGCTCCGCCACCGTTGAACGTGAAGATAGGCACCGGTGTTATGCGCGGTGACGGTCTACAACATCACATAATTTTCATTTTCGGCAAGTCTTCATTTCCATTTGCTTCGAGGTGTTTTCACATGAGCATAATACCAAGGTAGCGCTGAGAACGCGTCAGCTTCAATCCTTTGCCCCTTTATGGCTGTATCCCTCCATACTTCTAAATGCTTGGCCATTACATGAACTAAAGCAAATCGATAAGGGCAATGGGGTAGCAATGTGTGCATCACGTATCCTGCACAGCAAAACACTGAAGAGGACGAAGCTGCTAATTTCAGGTGGTCCTGGTTCCCAAAAAGGATTGGTGATCGAAGAGTTGATACATCGATTCGGCTTTATGGCAATCACCGTCGAAGAGATCATTTTCAGTTATTTACCTAGCAAAGTTGCCAATACTGTTGAGACGAC